TTTTTTTTTTGTGTGTGTGAATATTTTGTTTCTCCATATGCATATAGCAGATTTTAATTTAAGATTTCTACTACCAGACCAAACATTTTGGGCTAGGTCAGGATTAATCTGATTAGACAAGAGTTGCATTCTAGAGGTGGATATTTAAAATAATTCTTTGCTGGAGACATCTCAATCTTAAGGTGCTCATGTGGTTCTATATGTTTTTGGTTGCTGGATATCGTGTWTCTTATAATCTTATAACTATTTTTATGATACTGACCAACTTATTTACTCAGCTCCTGGTGGCACTTAAGGTGCGCTACCCTCAACGGATTACAATTCTTCGGGGAAATCATGAAAGTCGTCAGGTACACATTTACAGTTGAATAATTTCTTTAAAATATCTCTTCTATTATATATTCCTGTGGTTATGGGTTATTGTTTAATTTAGGTAATATGTGACCTGAAGTTAGACACAAATGCTACTGCACACTGTATTAATCTATTTGGTCTAAAGATACAATTGCTACAATGCCATATTTCTTTAGTGGGTTTTGAACTAATTGCATTTGTTAGTAAATGATATATGCTGACTATTTTGTTTTTCATTTCTTTTGCAGATTACACAAGTGTATGGGTTTTATGATGAATGCCTACGAAAGTGAGTTCCTTACATTCCTCGTTTTGTTGGAGTTTCTGGTTAGATCAAGAGGTTGTACTACTTGTAGTTTAACAATCAAAATTCACAAAATTTTTATTTTATATTTCTTCTAGATGATTAGGTTTTCTGCACGGTCTGTCTATTTAACATTGTTATTGTAGAATGTTTTTGGGGAGTAAAAGCTTTTACATCTGAAACCTAAAACTTTGAAGGATTAAAAGACAAACTATTATTAACTTCTGTACTTAATTTTCCACTTAAATTTTGGATGTTTAAATGCCCTCTTCCTAGGAAATTAATCATGTTGGATCTACTTATCATTGGTCATAGGCTCAATTTGCCAACCAACAAGCATCCTAATCTTCTAAATTTTCYGGATGTGTCATGTGCCAACCTCTGGATTTCTAGTCTCTGCAGTCTCCAGACCTTGTTACTTCTGCACAGTAAATCACAKGGGTATCAACATGATTGGCCTTTCGGAATAACAGAATTAAATTAATGCATATTACCACATYGAGAAAGTGAAAACTTCTGTAATAGCATTTTATGCTAGAATGGTTTGCATGTTTTTGTTCTGATAGCTTTTCTTTCAACAATCTTCTGTACCATGATTTAAGAGATCCCATTAGATAAGTTTCTTGTTCATCATTTTTTTTTCAGTGTGCAAAATGCAGCAAAAAGACATAATGAAAGTTCCCTCTTTCCTATGTTAGAATTGAATGTACATCTGCACATAGTGAAGCCCTTTGTTCATTAGATAACATGAACAGTAGTAATTCTAGACATTTGTGAATCTAATGCTTGTAGGCATCAATTTTAGTTCATATATTCTATTGAATGCAGTTTTTGAAACGTCTAGGAGCTGTTGTGGCTCTTAGTCTGGGTGGATGAGCTGTTGCTTTTTAGTCTTTTCCTTGACCCTAATTTCTTGTTGTCTCTTGGAACTCTGCAATTACTTAATTGTTATTCTTCTTTTACAGGTATGGCAATGCTAATGTTTGGAAGATCTTCACGGACCTTTTTGACTATTTTCCGTTGACAGCCCTGGTCAGTCGAATTCTGTAATTCCCATATGGATATATCCTGTTTTCTAATTTGGCATGCCAAATGCTCTCTGCCATCTTTTTTTTT